TGCTTTTCCTAATAATATGGTTTCCCTTATAAGTTCATGCAACAACAACAGCTCTGGGGATATTACAGTTAAGTGAGCACTAGGATTCAGGAGTCCTGTGGAAAGTCACCAAAAGTCCATCAGCTCCCGTTCTTCGTCTGTGAAATGGAAATATCCAAAGAGATGGCTCTACATTTCTATGTAACTCTGAGTTTCTAAGGTTTTTGCTTTATTCACAATTCTTGTAGTTATTGGGTCTTTCCATCGATAATAGTTTCTAACATTGGATCAAACCATTTATTTCTAATTCTCCACAACTCTGTATTCTTTTTTTTTCTCTCTCTCTTTCAACGTGTTTTTTTTAAATTATTTTTTATTATTATACTTTAAGTTCTGGGGTACATGTGCATGATGTGCAGGTCTGTTACATATGTATACTTGTGCCATGTTACTGTGCTGCACCCATCAACTCGTCAGCACCCATCAACTCGTCATTTACATCAGGTATAACTCCCAATGCAATCCCTCCCCCCTCCCCCCTCCCCATGATAGGCCCCGGTGTGTGATGTTCCCCTTCCCGAGTCCAAGTGATCTCATTGTTCAGTTCCCACCTATGAGTGAGAACATGCGGTGTTTGGTTTTCTGTTCTTGTGATAGTTTGCTAAGAACGATGGTTTCCAGCTGCATCCATGTCCCTACAAAGGACACAAACTCATCCTTTTTTATGGCTGTATAGTATTCCATGGTGTATATGTGCCACATTTTCTTAATCCAGTCTGTCACTGATGGACATTTGGGTTGATTCCAAGTCTTTGCTATTGTGAATAGTGCCGCAATAAACATACGTGTGCATGTGTCTTTATAGCAGCATGATTTATAATCCTTTGGGTATATACCCAGTAATGGGATGGCTGGGTCATATGGTACATCTAGTTCTAGATCCTTGAGGAATCGCCATACTGTTTTCCATAATGGTTGAACTAGTTTACAATCCCACCAACAGTGTAAAAGTGTTCCTATTTCTCCACATCCTCTCCAGCACCTGTTGTTTCCTGACTTTTTAATGATCGCCATTCTAACTGGTGTGAGATGGTATCTCATTATGGTTTTGATTTGCATTTCTCTGATGGCCAGTGATGATGAGCATTTTTTCATGTGTCTGTTGGCTGTATGAATGTCTTCTTTTGAGAAATGTCTGTTCATATGCTTCGCCCACTTTTTGATGGGGTTGTTTATTTTTTTCTTGTAAATTTGTTTGAGTTCCTTATAGGTTCTGGATATTAGCCCTTTGTCAGATGAGTAGATTGCAAAAATTTTCTCCCATTCTGTAGGTTGCCTGTTCACTCTGATGGTAGTTTCTTTTGCTGTGCAGAAGCTCTTTAGTTTAATGAGATCCCATTTGTCAATTTTGGCTTTTGCTGCCGTTGCTTTTGGTGTTTTAGACATGAAGTCTTTGCCCATGCCTATGTCCTGAATGGTACTACCTAGGTTTTCCTCTAGGGTTTTTATGGTATTAGGTCTAACATTTAAGTCTCTAATCCATCTTGAATTAATTTTCGTATAAGGAGTAAGGAAAGGATTCAGTTTCAGCTTTCTACTTATGGCTAGCCAATTTTCCCAGCACCATCTATTAAATAGGGAATCCTTTCCCCATTTCTTGTTTCTCTCAGGTTTGTAATCATGAATGAACTTCCATTCACAATTGCTTCAAAGAGAATAAAATACCTAGGAATCCAACTTACAAGGGATGTAAAGGACCTCTTCAAGGAGAACTACAAACCACTGCTCAGTGAAATCAAAGAGGACACAAACAAATGGAAGAACATACCATGCTCATGGATAGGAAGAATCAACATCATGAAAATGACCATACTGCCCAAGGTTATTTATAGATTTAATGCCATCCCCATCAAGCTACCAACGAGTTTCTTCACAGAATTGGAAAAAACTGCTTTAAAGTTCATATGGAACCAAAAAAGAGCCTGCATCTCCAAGACAATCCTAAGTCAAAAGAACAAAGCTGGAGGCATCACGCTACCTGACTTCAAACTATACTACAAGGCTACAGTAACCAAAACAGCATGGTACTGGTACCAAAACAGAGATATAGACCAATGGAACAGAACAGAGTCCTCAGAAATAATACCACACATCTACAGCCATCTGATCTTTCACAACTCTGTATTCTATACAATAATTCTAAATTCTAAATTATTAAATCACTTTCTAATTCTCTACTTTACTATGAGCTTGTGATTCAGATTCATCCAGCTGTGTTTGCAGCTCTGTTTAGCAGGACCAGCAGTTGAATGTGAGACCCTAGGGAGGTGAGCCCCAGGCATATGCAAACCCATTAGGGCTGCTAAAAACACCACTTCCCTTGCAGGAAGAGTGGGAGTTATTGAAAGCCCAGGACTTTTTTTGTCCAATGCATACAAGGGCAAGTAGAGTAACAACATTTAAAATTACAACAGTAATATAAAAATCATGCTCTTTTTTAAATTCAAATTTTAAAGGATTAGATATAAGAGACAAAATTACCCATTCCATCCTCTTAAAATAAGACCACTCCCTTAGGCAATCAGAGTATCCTTCTAGAACTTTCTTTATGCATTCATGTGAATAAATACAGATTTATAGCTACAGATACAGATGTAGGTATCTTTTCACACTTACAAACATTAATTTATATGACACATATTACTCTGAAACTCTGAAACTTGTAACTTTTTTACTTAATGTTACATCTTGGAGTTCCTTTCCTTTCAGTACCTATAGATCTACTGGATTCTTTTTATTTCATTTTTTTTTATTGGATTCTTTTTATTGGTTTCATTCATACCAATTTCTAATGATGGACATATAAGTTATTTCCAATTTATTTAATCTGACAAATAAATAATTTTATATGTTTTTCTTTGTGCATATATGTAAATGTTCTGTGTGACAGAAAACCTAGGTTAAAGGAAATCGGTATTTTAAATTCAGGTGAAAATTGCCAAATCCCTTCAAGCATTATTTGCTACTTTACATTCCCATCAATAACATGTAACAAATGTTCACTTTTCCACACCATTTCTAACATAAATATTATTTTTGCTAGCCCAATGGATGAAAAATGCTCATTTTTTGTTATTTTAATTTGCATTTTTTGGTTAAGTTAGCTTACTAATTTTTCACATTCACATGGACTGTGAATAGATTTTTCCTTATCACTGTCCATTTTTCTATTGGGTAATTTGTTTTATTGACTGGAGGATGCCTTATATATTATAGAAATTAATCTTTTGTTTATTACTTATATTGTTTTTCTCATTATGCTACCTATATTTTAACTTTGCTTATGGGCAAGTTTAAAAATTTTAAACTGTATATCTTTATAGTATCTGTGTTCTGTGTCTTAATTAGGAAACTCTTCGCCACTGGAAGGTTATTAAAATGTCCTGCATGTTCTTCTTATATTTATAGGGTGTTTTTATGTCTTTAAACCATATGGAATTTATTTTTGTATATGGTATAAAGTATAGAATAATTTTTTCAAACGTTATTGTCCATGCATCATTTATGAAACTGTCCATTCATAAATGCTTAATTACAAAAGACACATTATTCTGTGGATTCTCAATTCTATCCCATTTATTTAGTTTTCCATTTCCGTGCCACACAAAACCACACTGCTGTGGAAAGTTCCCTCTCTTTTCTTTCTTTCCTTTTTTTTTTTTTTTTTTTTTTTTGTGAGACAGAGTCTCACTCTGTCGCCCAGGCTGGACTGCAGTGGCGCGATCTCGGCTCACTGTAAGCTCTGCCTCCCGGGTTCAGGCCATTCTCCTGCCTCAGCCTCCCGAGTAGCTGGGACTACAGGCGCCCACCACCATGCCTGGCTAATTTTTTGTATTTTTAGTAGAGACGGGGTTTCACCGTGTTAGCCAGGATGGTCTCGATCTCCTGACCTCGTGATCCACCTGCCTCGGCCTCCCAAAGTGCCAAGATTACAGGCATGAGACACCACGCCCGGCCCAAAGCATATTTTTACTTGAAGAAAAATCTAAAAAAAAAAAAATGTTATTGGAATTACACTGAATTTATAAATTAGGAAGAAATTACCAGTTTACAGTTCTGTCTTCCCATCCAGAAATACTGTGTATTATTCATCACTTCTTTTATGTTTTTCAATACAGTGTTCTAATTTTCCTTGTAAGCTTCTTAGTCTCTGAGGTTTATCCTTAGGCATTTCAGTGTTTCTGAGGTTCTGCACTTATTCCTAGGCATTTTGATGTTTTTATTATTATGAATAACATCTATTTTTATGAGCTACTCTTAGATAGCAGTAAATTTGTGATCTCAATGTTTGGTCTTACATTCGGGCAATTCAATGAATTATCATATTAGTTCTAAAAGCTTTTTAGTTTGCCTTTGCTTTTCTAGGTAGAGAATCATGCCAACTAGAGATGATTGTGGTTTTATCACTTCCATTTCAATGTTTGTACACTATTTCTCCCATCATATTTCATTGGCTGGTATCTGCAGTACAATCAGGAGTAATAATAGAGCTCTTGATTTTAATTAATATGCTCCCAGTGTTTCACTGTTACATAAGATGTTTGCTCTTTTGGCAGATACCTTTTATCTAAGTTTAAGAGGCTATTTCTTCCTAGTTTTTACCAGGAATATCTGTTGAATTTTTATAAATTGCTTTTTCTGTACCTGGCAAGATAATCATGTAATTTTTCTCTTTTTCTTTAACAAACTGAAAAATGCTAATAGGTTTCATAGTATAGAAACATGCTTCATTTCTGAAATAACTACTCAGTCCTGATGTGCTATTCCTTTTGATCATCACTAGGTTTCCTTGGCAAATATTTTCCTTTGAATTTTTGAATTTATTTGTGTAAATAAAGTTAGCCTGTGGTTTTCTTTTTTAGGCTGAATTTGTTCAGTTTGGAAATCAAAATTAAAATCATCAAAGAACAAACAAACAAGCAAAAAATATTTGTGAAAAATTTACAGAAGACTCTGGTTTAAAGTTTCTGTTCCTATGGGAGTCTAATCCTGTAACACTGACAAGAAAACTATAGGAAACTGAGATTTTATATACCTGTAATTTGCTGTTGCAAATTATAGGTGTAACCCAGATATTAAATAGGTGATATTGGCAAGGAACAATCAAAACCAACTTTATTGTTTTCTCCCCCTGCTAGTCAAGGCCATTTTGTGTTGCTGATTCTCTCTGCCTGTGGATAAAATCTTGTCTTGCTCTTGGTAAACTCTTGTATGAAACCCCATAGGACATCCCTTCACTCTATGGTTACTAAGTGCCCTCTATTCACTTACACTCCTAAGGGTAGTTTCATTTCAGTAATTAAATATAACATCCTGTGTAACAGTCAAACTCCAGACTTTATTTCAAAGTGAGAGGAGGAAGGGCCTCTGCCCTGAATACCTCACCCTCCCAGCTGTGGCTTCCAATTCCTCTAGGACCAGAGCCAAAGAGGAGAGAAGAGGTAAGGAGACAGGAAAGAACTCACTTGAGGGGCATCTCTGTGATCTAGCTTTGGTTCTTGCTGGTGTTTAATGACAACGCTGCTGTAGGATGCTTTCCATCTTCTTTGGACAACATCTCCAAGCTGGGGGTCCCTCACCTGTAGTTCCCTTGATGAATATAAATGTATTTTGCTTAGAGCTTAGAATTCCTTCTTCGGTCCTGGCGTCTAGTGGCACACCTCCAACCCCACTCTGTTGATATTTTCTTGCTCCTCCTGGAAGCCCTGCTGGCAGGATCTAAAACAACCCCAAGCTGCTGCCTTGACATGTGGCCTTCATCTGGCCCCCAGGTGACAGAAACGTCTGACCCACCATCAGACGGAGGACACCAGACCCAAACCCAGCCCTGTCCTCAGCTGCCACAGCTGGTCCAGCCAGCCTCTCACCTGTGAAGATTGCTTTTGTAGGCATATGTTATTCATCACAGGGTTCACAGCTCCAGCTGTGCAAATAAGCCCCTTAAAGCCACCTCTCTTACCCTGAGAAAAGTGAATCATTTTTAGGTTAGGGGGTGAGGAGTGGGCAAGAGAAGTCTGGAGCTTGGATGAAAAATGAAACTCAAAGCCCAAGTTTTCCCAAACCAATCCTCTCTCCAAACTCCAGGTTCTTCTCTCAGACTCCCCGACCTCTTTTATGGCCTTGTGTAGGAGGTCAGCTAAGGGCCACAAAACAGGATTTTGGCCACCTCCTTTGCCAGTTCCGGGGACTTTGGAGTCCCCAGTCTTGCGCTTTGGAATATGGGAGTCGCTGAGGCACTATCTTGGAATTATCAACCAAAAATGAGATAGGAAAGAGTATTCGGGAGAGGTAGACTATTTATCCCACACATTTAAATTTACCTTTGAATTATTTACCTTCAGATGAATATCCAAAAGAAAACTGGTTTTCTCACTCACAGTGTCTCGAGTCCCTCAACGCTTAAAATCTTCACTCTGGGAAATAAATTATACAATAACTTAAGTGTGTTCTTAAGCCAAGCCAACAGACCAAACATCTTTGATGTGTGGCTAGAAGCTGGGCCATGATGAATCTGAATTTCATTTTTATTTTCAGTCTATGGGCTTCACTCCTTTTGATCCACCCTTCATAAAGCTATAGGCAAACGTATCACCGATTTTGTTCTTATAAAGTACACATACATTCACACACCCTCATATTCATCTTGTACTAGAGATGGCAACCTATAAAAGATGACACAGCAGTGACTCAAGAGTTTGAGCAGCTACCTCACCCCTTTATAAAGGTCTTCATCCAAAATCCTCCCTGGGAAGCCTCGTTGAGGTTCAAGGCCACTAGGCAAGCAGGCATCTGTCTCTCCGCAAATGCTAGCAGATCATCATCCCAGGAGAATCCCAACTGAGAGGAGAAAGGAAAATAAAGAAAAGAATTGTTTTAATGAATAAACAAACGTGGAATGTAGTCCAGGGTCCTGGGTCTCTGCATGAGCATGGGACAGAGAAGCTAACAATTGTGAATCAGGAGGAACCAGGTCACAAGAGGCATTCGTGTCCCTCTAGGCCACCACCTAAGCATCTCTAAATGTAGTAATGTGAGAAAAGTAATTCCTAAAATTCTGGGATTCTAATTAGTGTCGACGTGATTATGTTTCTTTCTTTCTTTCTTTTTTTTTTTTTTAGACAAAGTCTTGCTCTGTAGCCCAGGCTGGAGTGCAGTGGTGTGATCTCAGCTCACCACAACCTCTGCCTCCCAGGTTCAAGTGATTCTCCTGCCTCAGCCTCCAGAGTAGTTGGGATTACAGGCACGCACCACTGCACCCAGCTAATTTTTTGTACTCTTAGTAGAGATGGGGTTTCACCATGTTGGCAAGGCTGGTCTTGAACTCCCAACCTCAGGTAATCCACCCGCCTTGGCCTCCCAAAGTGCTAGGATTACAGGTGTGAGCCACCACGCCTGGCCGATTATGTTTCTTTTGCATTGATTTTCTTGGGGCATCAGTTCTAACTAGGATTCCTCAGGGAAACATTCCATAATGGGTCTCCACAGGAGGGATAGACAAACTAACAGACCCTCGTGTAAGCCAGGCTGCCACCTGTTTTTGTACCACTCGTGAGCTAAGAATAATTTTTAAAAGGTTGGAAAAGATCAAAAGAAAAATATTTTATAACCTATGAAAATTATATGAAATTCAAAATTGAGCTTCTATAAATACAGTTTTATTGGAACCCAGCCCTGCTTATTTGTTTGTGTCACCCTGGCTACTTTCACACTACAATGGCAGAGTAGAGTAATTGCAACTGAGTGTGCATACAGCACACAAGGCCTAGAATATTTACTCTGTGGCCCTTTACAGAAAACTGCTCCACAATCATGAAGAAGGCCATGGAAAAGGAGGTGACATCAGTAGGAAGAGGTAGTCTGGGTCCAGTTCACTCCCTAGAACAATGGTGGGTGTCTCCCAAGTAGCACTGGTATTTCTGCCTTCTACTAAAAAAAAAAGAAATTTTTTTTAATGGAGTCTCGCTCTGTTGCCCAGGCTGGAGTGCAATGGTGCAGTCTTGGCTCACTGCAACCTCCACCTCCTGGGTTCAAGCGATTCTCCTGCCTCAGCTTCCTGAGTAGCTGGGACTACAGGCACCCGCCACCATGCCTGGTTAATTTTTGTATTTTTAGTACAGACAAAGTTTCACCATGTTGGTCAGGCTGGTCTCCAACTGTGGACCTCGTGATACACCCACCTTGGCCTCCCAAAGTGCTGCGATTACAGGCATGAGCCACTGCACCTGGCCTAAAAAATTTTTAAACCCAAAACCACTGAGGCCCAGAACAGGTATCTTTTGGGATTCTAGAAGAGTAAAATGGGGTGGGAGGGGAAGTAGAAAGAAAAAAAAAAAAAAAAAAAAAAAAAGACCATGGCAGTCAAGTCAGGGGTTTCTCACATACAAATGATCTAAAAAGTTTCCGAGCTCCTGGTGAAGCCAAATGATCTGGGCTTCATTCCAGGTCCAAGATGCCCCAATTTCCTATTTTTGTTCCCTTTCAGGCCTCAGATTTCAAAACGTTACTGTTATCCTATTTAGGGTCACTATGAAAATAGCTTAGAAGTCAACCTTAGAATTTCAGTTCTGAGATATCGGAGACTTTTGTACTAGGAACCTAAAACCTTTAAAAGATGTTTGTTTTATTACTTCCAAATGCCTACTTCCAAAGTTTTGCCAGGAACATGTAAGCCAGAGAGGAGCTCATATCTGTGGGTTGACTAAAATCCCATAAAAGCTATTAGAGTATAAACTTCCAGTGAAACTGTAAGTTTCCCCAATTAAATCAATAATCCCTGGAGTGGAAAGCATGCTAGCTTTAGCTGTCCTCAAACTGCCTCGTACCTAGTAAGATGCCATTGTAAATACTTGCTGAATAAATGTTCAAATGTTCTATGGATTCAGAATTTGCTGCTTGTTACATACTGCAACTGTGTGTTAATTATTGACATAATTCTGGGTATTTAATATATTTTCATGTGATCATATTAACTTACATAAGTATTTGCATGCACACATCACTATGCCATACATAAGGAATTCTATATACACAAATGTAAGATAGCAGATCTGCCCTGACAGTGTATCTGCCCCTACAGACCATTCCAGAGATTTTGTCACATGGACCAAGATGATATTCATTCACGAAATGAGAATCTGCTATATGAAATGAGCATTGTGCAAACATTTCCCAAATGCCAAGTAAACATAACCCCTCTTGTAAATATCCATGAAGAAGAAAGCAAATTCCTAGGAAAGCAACACAGACAACTTTCGACTGTTGAATCTGGGAGAATATTTGGGAGTAAGACAAACCAAAGAACCCTTTTCCTAAGTAATAGCAAAAACATTCTTTGGATAACTCTCCACTAGAAGTTATTGTTTTCCCTCATAAAGCTGAGAATATTTATAGAATTTCTCTCATTACAGCATGAATTCACAAGTAATTACATCAGGAATATGTAAAAGAGATATTAGCAGAACCAGTCAAAACAAGAATTTGGAGCAAGTTTCTACCATCAGCACTTACATGGAATGCACAATTAGCCATTAAGAGCATAAAGCATTAGAATAATAGAAACACAGTGGCTAAAGCTTTGAGTGCTTCAGACACTTGACTTGGAATATATACGGTAGCTGACACAAAGTCTCATTCTCAAGTTGTAAGAAAACTTTCTTCTACGATTAAAAAGAGGTACTGGGCAAAATAGTTTCGACTAACCTTTGTAGTCAATGTCCTGGCCCCAGAACAGGAGTGCTGTGCAGGGTCCTTGATTCCATGTAAAGGAAACCAACTTTGGTGACTTGAAGGCAAAATGCAATTTATCAGAAGGATGTAGGGTAGATGACAAGATTCAGGCAAAGGCTAGTCAACCAAGCAGAGAAAAGCAGACAAAATAAAAAGAGGCCAGAACCACAGCCAAAATCCTAGTAGAAGATCCTACGTAGATTCTCACTGTGGCCTCATTTTACTAGCACCACTGCCAACCCTGGACAGGGAATTCTAGAATGCCCACTGCTTCTTTGCCCCATGGCCCCAGAGTCAAAATCCAAGGTAGGAACACACCTACCTACGGCTTACCTTATTCAAATGTCCATTGCCTTGCTACAAGGAAATGGGAGCAGAGCAGCTGGAAACTCAGGCCTCCTTAATGGGAACCAGGGCCCTGCTGCCACCCATCTTGAGCTTTCCCAAAATAGGGATGGTCTTCAGAGTCTCAACTAATGAGGTTTTTGGATTTGCCTCCCCTTTCTCAAGGAACTGCAAAATAAACACAGCTATCACTATTACACAAAAAAAGGAAATAAATTACAATACTAGATGAAGTATAAGTCTAAGTACTATATACCATAAATGTTCTATGGTCAGTCTTATCTTCTGGAGCAATAACACTTCACTTCTGCATGCTTTTCTAGTGCTTCTAGAATTGAAACCAGTGAGGGGGAACTTAAGGTCAACATCTGCTCCTCACACGCCTTCCACAGCAATATAATGTGAGTACTGCAGTTCCATTGAGCTGTGGCAGTTGGGGTAGTTTAGGAAGACAGTGGAGAACAGCAAGACGGTTAGGTCCCAGTGAAAGGAGGAAGTGCCCATGTTTATCCCAACAATGAAGTGCATGTCGAGAAGTATTGGGAACCTTCAGCTTCAACTCCACAGAACAGAGAAGAGACTTAGGACTGAAGGATCCCCAACCAACAATGAGATAGCTGCAGACACGCACAGCAGCAGTATTTTCTGGTCAGCTCCTAAACACCCAAATGTGGAAAGCTAATCAATAGCACAGCTATGTGATATCAACACACTGACTTTCGCCTTGGGCTGGAAGCCCCAGGTTCAGTCAACCCACTCCCATAAGAGACACTCACAGCCCCAGAGTTTATCAAAATCTAAAGCCATCCAGTTCTTAATTACTTCTCTTTCATAATTAAAAAGAAACTCAGACTACATTTCTAAATTTCTTTGGACAAAGAACGTTTTGTTAACTCAAGTGCTCAGCTGGGTTATAAATCCTCAAAACTAATGCCAATAGATCTGTAACAAGAAGAGGGGTTTTTGTCTGCATTTTTTTAAATGGCCCCCATTTTAGAAAAGACAAACATTTATCTACTCAACGCACAATGCACTGTGGTAGGTACCTCCACTGTATTATGAAAGGACACTCAAACTATTCATAGGTTTTAAGTAGATTTATTTCCTAGTGATTGCAACTGTATACATTTGTCAGGTCAAAGGGAAGGACACGGTCCTTGCTGCAAAGAAAAGTCATAAGTACCCAGTCCTCACAGAAGGAACAGGAGTTGGTGGCCTGATACTGAAGGGCTGAATCCAGCCCAGGATCAGGGCGAGTTCTGCCTGCTTTGCCCCAGTCTCCTGTCCTCGGGTCACAGACACGTAAGAGGCTGGTATGCTGGACTGAAGGACTGACGCAGAATGAGCCCACGTGCTTTCAACCCAGCAGGGAGAGCGGGGCTGGGCATCCCAGCCCAGAAGCCAAGCCTACCCAGACAACCTTTCTAAGGCTTGGCAAAGGCGTGCTATAATTAGACATTAACATCTAATAAATAATAAGTGAATGCCATGGTAAAGCACTTTGCAAATGGAGAGGACACTATGAGTATGTCCCTGTCATCAATAATAATGGTGTTCTAGGTAATCACAGCACTCAGGAAGCAGTTTAGACACAGGCAGCCTCAGCAGGGATACCACTAATGTCCAAAGGCCTAAGCATACGATTTTTCACATACCTGCCCCGGCTGGAAGACTGCCCAGAAAAGACGACAAGCCCACAGAGCTCAGGAGATCATTCCTGAGAGCTCCACGGAAGATGTAAACATTGCCAGGGAAAATCGTTCCATTCCTTAAAGAATATTTGGAGCAGCAAGCTCACTTGTAGATTCACTAAAGTGGAAATCTACACTAGAAGCAGCAGAGCCCCTAGAAGCAGCAGACACTGAGAAAATGTTTAAATAATGCCAAAAAACTCAGCCACCCTCACTAGCCACCTTCATAATCCCAATTAACATCAATAAGATTTCAAGGAGAATGTCAGATGGTAGACGCTGCCCATTGAACAATTTTAAAAGCAATTCTAATTCTTTTATAGTCTAGTTTTGTGTGTGTGTGGATCATTTACCTGGGAGTAACTGTAGCTTTTTGCAGAGACTTGGATTTTTATTTTATATTTTATTACTTCCTAGTTGTACAAAAATTTTCATTGCAGCATTTGTTCAAAATCTGCAGCCTTCACTCATTTCTCCATTTTTGGATGTCTACACTGCTGAAAGTGGGCACTACACAAACAGGTTGTATATCGTCTCATCATATTCTCCTTTTTGAGACGGAGTCTCACTCTGTCGCCCAGGCTGAAGTGCAATGGCGCGATCTCGGCTCACTGCAACCTCCGCCTCCCGGGTTCAAGCGATTCTCCTGCCTCAGCCTCCTGAGCAGCTGGGATTACAGGCACCTGCCACCACGCCCAGCTAATTTTTGTATTTTTAGTAGAGACAGGGTTTCACCATGTTGTTCAGGCTGGTCTCAAACTTCTGACCTCAGGTGATCTACCCGCCTCTGCCTCCCAAAGTACTGAGATTACAGGCAAGAGCCACCGCGCCTGGCCAATATTCTCCGTTTTTGATGTGTACTTAAATCTGTCTCTTCATCTCCACGCTAAAACCCTAGAGACCATGGACAGTGTTTTAGGGCATATCTTTGAATCTCCTCTGGGACTAACATGATAATGCTATTTAGTAAATTTTTTGCACAAATAGAGCTACTATAACATCCTCTAACTGGACATTTCCAATCTTAATAGTCTGAAAACTTCATGCAATTTTTTTTTTTTTTTTTGAAATAATTTAGGCAGAAGTGAAGTTCACCTTTGCTTGCAAGTTCCTACTTCACAGGTCAGTTGATCATTTAAACAACATCTCGGGGAAGAACACTTCGTACTTAAGGACAAAACAAGTATGCTCAAGACCTTCTGAAATCCCCATTTACTTTAGAGTTGACAAGCTCACTCACAGCTCATTTAAAGGAAAGGAAAAACAGTGAGTCGTTTTCCTAACGAGGTATTTCTAACACTTTCAGGCCTCCTCTTTTAAGAGCTTTTTCAAACAAATATACTGTTGAATTTTCCATTTACCTACAAAACCATTAAGCAAACAATAGAGACATTTAAAAGAAAAACCCAAGAAATCACTCCCCATCCCACTCCACCCTTCCAAGATAACCGATTTGAAGTATGTTTTCATGTTTTTCTTGCTGAAATACACCAAAACGTGTATCTTTACATACAGCTTTTGGTTAGTTGGTTGGTTGGTTTGGGGGTTTTTGCTTGTTTGTTTGTTTGGGTTCTTTTTTCTTTTTGACAAAAAATTTCTTTTTGGCAAAAAAAAAAAAATCATATTATACATATTATTTTGCAACTTGCTTGTTTTTTACTAACCAAAGCATAAAGAACCCTTTTCCAGGTCACCTTATCAATTATTCTCCTTCTTTTCCATACTTACATTATATTCCCTTGTGCACATATACTATTTTTTTCAACTTTTCCTATCATTGAACAATCAGAAGTTTTCCACTGGACAACTCACTTCATTTGTCTACCTTAGTTTGTACTCTAAGCTTTTCTCTAACTCTAAAATTTTGAATTCACCTAAAATAAAATCCAGTTCTTTGGAGAAAGAAAGAGAAAAGCTATTTTCTTGGTCAAATTAGTAAATATTTATTAAATTGAATGTCTTAAAACTAACTTGGATCTGAACTTTAGAATAACTTGGATTCGAACTTTAGAACATCTTGACATTCTCCAGACACGCTGTAGGAGTGTTCTAGAATAGTACTTTTATAACGGGGAATGTTCACACCTCCATGATTCCTTTAAAATAAGTAAAATATGCTGCTGAAAATTCTGGCACAATTGTATTACTGTAACACAGATTCAGTTGTGTATGTATTTATACAAACATTTTCTACATGGTGTTCTGGGAAACACTGTCTAGGGAAATGCTAAGAGTGATCAAGTAAGTTTAGGCCACTCAGTTTAAAATTAAATATACGATTTTTAAATTCTGATTCTCTTGCGAAGGTGATCACTTAATCTCTTTCCCTAGCCTTCCTCTTAAGCTAAATAGAGTGTACATCTGTACATCTTTATTGAACATCTGTGTATCTTTACATCCCTACTGTATATCTATACATCTGTATGTCTCTACTGTATGTCTATACATCTCTGCATCTCTATTGTACGTCTAAACATCTATGTCTCTATTAGCATCTATACATCTGCATGTCTCTACTGTATGTCTGTACATCTATACATCTCTACCGTACATCTATACATCTCTACCGTACATCTATACATCTATACATCTCTACTGTACATCTATACATCTGCTCATCTTTACTGCACATCTGTACATCTCTACTGTATGTCTGTACATCTATACATCTCTACTATACATCTATAGGCATCTGTACATCTCTACTAAACATCTGCACATCTGTATCTACTGCACAATTCATACATCTCTACATCTCTATTGTACGTCTAAACATCTATGTCTCTATTGTACATCTATACATCTGCATGTCTCTACTGTATGTCTGTACATCTATACATCTCTACTGTACATCTATACATCTCTACCGTACATCTATACATCTATACATCTCTACTGTACATCTATACATCTACACATCTCTACATCTCTATTGTACGTCTAAACATCTATGTCTCTACTGTACATCTATACATCTGCATCTCTACTGTATGTCTGTACATCTATACACCTCCACTGTACATCTATACATCTCTACCATACATCTATACATCTATACATCTCTACTGTACATCTATACATCTATACATCTCTATTGTACGTCTAAACATCTATGTCTTTACTGTACATCTAT